AAGTCGACAATGTCATGGAGCAGCTTCCTTTTGACAGTGACATCACTGGCACAGTCTAAACGCAGACCTGGGCTGTGGTTTACTTCGAGAAGCCAGGGTTTCATTTTCTCATCAACCAATATGTCAAACCCAAAGAGTTCAAAGCAGTTGGACGTAAATGGTACTGAAGTGGTGATGGCCAACAAAGTTAGAATGACTACATGGTTGATTCTTTTCCACAGGAGCAGGTCATCAACACTGCAGCTCCGTAAATAGGCCCGCAATTTGCTAAAAGTCCATTTGCAACCAGAGCCAATGACTTCTTTGTCCTTTCTGTATGATGGCCCAAACTTATTGATGCTTGTGTTTGTCAGGTGAGCGTAAATGTTGTCAAGGGATCTCAGGTCAAACTTCTCTGTTGCAAACCTCACCAGTCCTTCTTCATATATATAAATTGTAAGGGGATAAAAGCTTGTAACACAAACATAAATACGGAGGTCCCATTTGTATCCGGAAATAAGCAAAGGGTTACTAATATATTTTTGCACAATTACCATGCAGTCATAAACAAAATCCTTAATGTCTTGAAAAATGAGAATGCCTCTCCCGCGAGACCTATCAACTGGTTTGCAGATCCAGTAACTCAGCTTTTTTCCTGGTATTTGCCTCTCCTTGGAGTACTCAGTTATAAATTTTATATAGTCATTGGGCATGATGAAGGCCACTGGACTGAACTCATAAAGGGTGGTTCCATAAATCCCCTTCATGCGTTTCAGATGTCTTGCCAAATAATCTTTCCGAGTGATTCTGATGGTTTCTGGATGGTGATTGAGCCTCTGCCATGGTTTGATGCTCTGGTGTTCTGTCATCCGGAAAGGGCAATTCCTCCAATACAAGTTCCAGTCTTCATTATTTTGTTCATTCTCATCATATTCAATCCAACCACGTTCCAATAAAATTTCACGAACTAATGAAGGTACACTATCATGGAGCCGGAACACGAGTGGCCTGGTGATGCCTCCAAGCTCAACTCTTTTTGCTGTTGTGGAACTCTTACTTCCTACAAAATTAATAGGGGCACATAGTAGGGCAGAAACAATTCATTCAATTGATTTGAATTATGACATCACGAAAGAAATGCATTGCTATCTCATATTTTCTAGGCCAAGGGCCTGCCATCTTGGCAACTTTAAGACTTGTGGACTTCAACTCCCAGAATTCCTCAGCTGAGTTCATATTTTTAAGCATTCCTATGTAAGCTTAGAATTGGGAGTTTAGGATAACTTGTCAGCAGGCTGGTATCTTTCAGTCATATCTGCCAGAGCTATGTTAGAGCAAGATGACTCCACTCAACTAAAATAAATCCATGTATATGCATAGTATCTAGGCAAGTTTTCTTGGTACTATATAGGTAGACCTTGTTTAGTAACCATTCGTTCAGCAATCATTTTGAAGTTTACAACAGTGCTGAATAAGGAGACTTATGGCCAGTCCTCAAGGTTTCAGCAGCACCACAGCCATTACAAAATTCACAGCATCCTGCAATCATGGGATCACCATTTGTGACTTTCACTGCCGGCTTCCAACAGCAAAATCAGTGGGGAAGACAGCAAGAATCTGCAAATGGCAACCACATGATATTTTGCCTAACCACACATGTGATTCGCCTAACAACCATAACGAGCTGCAGGGTCCTCCCACTTTATGACCATGCTGCTTAACAATAGATTTGCTGATCTCAGTTACTGTTGTTAACTGAGGACTACCTGCCCAGCTACATAAGACACAAAATAGATGCTCTGTCTAAAGGCAGAACTTGTGTGTGTGTGTGTGTGTTTTGCATTCTACAAGTAAGATCGAATGGTGTGGCTTGGGCCATCATTTATTTGATGGGGACAGGTGATTATTGGAATACAATCCCCCATTTTCCTTGACTGCTGGTCATTCTGAAAGAGACCTGAGATCAATAACATATGAGAGTTACATATTCCACCTCTCCATGCTTAGATGTGTGAAAGAAATGGGGGGATACGGGGAGGGGGGAGACATTACTGTAGATGCAGTGAGGAAGAGCTGCAGAGGAATTGTGTGAACCATTTTAGATACCCTGGATAGACTCACCAGTGCTCTGGTGAGCTGGAGAAAGGGTATCTATCTATCTATCTATCTATCTATCTATCTATCTATCTATCTATCTATCTATCTATCTATCTATCTATCTATCTATCTATCTATCTATC